GCGCTCGGGGCCGCCCGCCGGCCCTGACCCCCGGCCTCCCCCCGCAGATTACGTGTACTTCGAGAACTCTTCCAGCAACCCGTACCTGGTGCGGCGCATCGAGGAGCTCAACAAGGTGGGCCGGCGGGGCCCCGCTCCGCGCGGGCGCCTTCCTCGGGGTCTCCGCCCAGGTGGAGGGCAGGGCCCTGTTGGCCGTCCCCATTCACAGCCGCTCGTGGTGGGCGTCCGGGAGAGGCGTCGGCGAGCTCAGTGGGGACTTTCTCTCTCTCTCTCTCCTGGGTCGGACGAAAGGGGTGGAGGTCTGTCCGGGAACCTAAGTCTTCGCGCGGTTCCTGTGCTGTCTGCTTAGATGCGGACTGACTGTTACTCTCCGTGTGTTTCCATTTCCTCCCTGCCCTGTTTCCCCGCTTAGACTGCAAATGGAAACGTGGAAGCGAAGGTGGTCTGTCTGTTCCGGAGAAGGGACATTTCTAGCAGTCTCAACAGCCTGGCTGATAGCAATGCCAGTGAGTATATTCGTCCCTGTTCTCCCTTTGCCCGCGGTCTGGGCCTGGGCTTGTTCCTGCAGGTGTTGCCCTGGTAGCCCGCGCAGAGCAGAGATGTGAGTTTGGGGTGGAGGCCTGTTTTCACATGTTGGGTTTTGAAGCAGGGCGGGCGGGGAGAGGATGATAAGAGCCAGTTTCTGAGTGCCCGCGTGCCCGCGTGTGTGCGTGTGAGAGAGAGAGAGAGAGAGTGGATTTACTTTTCTCTTTGAGACAGGGTATTGCTGTGTACCCCAGACTGTCCTTGAACTTGTGGCGGAACTTGTGGGGGATCCTCCTGCCTCAGCCTCTTGGGTGCTAGGACTACAGGCATGTGCCACAACGCTCACCTGCAAATAATGTATTTAGAGAGGGAATTTAGGTAGGGGATGAGGAAGAGCTTCAGAGAAGTAGGACGCTTGGGTGGACAGTTCTGGGTGGGTTGGGACAGGGCAGTGAGACGGTCAAGCTGAAGAGAAAGATTGTACTGGGGCGCACTGCGGGGGATTTTGTTTTGTATAGGAGGTGGGGATACATTTAAGAAACCCTTGCAATTTGAAAGATGGCAGGAAAGTTTTCTTGGATTTTTTTTCTTATCTCTATTTTTTCTCCACTCCATTTAATAGATCTTTTTTTTTTTTTTTTGCCATTTTGTTTTTTTTTGGAAGCAGGGTCTTCCTTGTGTAGTTCAGGCTGGTTTTAAACTCACTGTGTAGCCCAGGCTGGCCTTAAACTTGCAGTAATCTTCCTGTTTCAGTCTCGAGTGCTGGGATTACAGGCATGAGCCATCATGCCAAGCTGTTTTTACTCTTCTTAAGCGCTGATTATCTCTTTAAAATGTTTCTTTTAATTTGAATTAGCTTTTACCCTTTCCTGTTTTGGTTTTTTTCCTTCTTTTTCTTCCTTTCAAATTGTTTTCAGGCTGGTTTGGTCAGGAAAGAGTTAATGAACTGCACTTACCCAGATGGATCCCTGGCCCTTTGGGGTTTCCAGCCCCATCTGGCAGGGGCTGACCTTAGCTTTGTCCAATCAGAGGAGATGTGGGGGTGTGGTCCCTTCTTTAGCACGGGGTTTCCGGAGTAGGGAGCAAGCAGGCTTGGGTGGTTGGGTGGAGCCGCCTCCCCCCTCCCTGCTCCCTGAGGTTGGAACAATGCAGCCAATGAGCCTGGCCTGAAGCTGCTCCTACCCCCCTTGGCCCTCCGCCAGGTTAACCCTTTGTGCCAGGCTTTCAGGGTGAAGCACCTCCTGGGCAGGAGGGTGTTGGCACTGGCTTGAGCTGCTGCCCTTGAACAGCCCCACGAACTATTATTAGCCCAGTAGTAAGGGAAGGTACTTAGGGCTATGTGTGATGGTTAGAGCTGAGAATCTCAAGTCCAGAAAAGGGAACCGGTGAGCAGCCCCGGTATGAGCTTCATCTTGCTGGCTTTCCTGGTCTCGGCCTGGCTCAGCAAGGAAGAGCTAGGTGTGCAGGAGCTGCTGGGCCTGGTGTGGTGGTGTCTGTACACCAGGGTCGGGGTGCCCCCAGTACTTGCAGTTCCTGAGAGCATTAGGGATGGTGAGGTAAGAGGGGAGACTGGTGGAGCATAGGCAAGTGCTTGGACAGAGTGAGGAACCAGCCCGGTGTGATGGCCCTCACTTGGGATCTCAGCACTCTGGGAGGCTGAGGCAGGAGAGTAAGTTCCAGCTCAGCCAGGCAACTTCACAAGGTAGGGAGACTCTGTCTCAATAAAAACGGCTTGGAGCCGGGTGTGGTGGCGTATGCCTGTAATCCCAGCACTCGGGAGACTGAGGCAGGAGCACCGTTGCGAGTTCGAGACTAGCCTGGGGTACAAAGTGAGCTCACGGCCAGCCTGAACTGCACAGTGAGACCCTGTCTCAAAAAGAGGGAAAAAAAAAAAAAAAAACCAGGGCTTGGACTGTAGGCCCTAGGATTAATCCCTAGTACTAAAATCAGCTGGGAGAGAAAGCATTTTCCCTGGGTTATTGCCCAAGGTGCCTCTTTTTTCCCTTTCTTTTTTTTTTTTTTTGGGGGGGGGGTCTTTGAAGACAGGTTTTCACTGTGTAGTGCAGGCTAGCTTTGAACTCAGGCAGTCCTCTTGCCTCAGCATCAGAGTTCTGGGATCACAGGTGTGCACCACCACGCCCTGCTGCAAACTGCCTTTTTGTCCCAATTAGTTTCTGACTTGGTTTCTTCCTTTCTGTCCTAGGGGAGTTTGAGGAGGAGTCAAAGCAACCGGGGGTTTCAGAGCAGCAGAGGCATCAGCTGAAGCATCGGGAGCTTTTCCTGTCTCGGCAGTTTGAGTCGTTACCAGCCACCCACATAAGGTAGGGGACCCTCAGACCAGGGTGCCTGGTGGCTGGCTGTGAAGGAGGGCAGGCTCACCTGGTTTCCTGACTGTCTCCTGCAGAGGGAAGTGCAGCGTGACCCTCCTCAATGAGACAGATATCCTGAGCCAGTACCTGGAAAAGGAGGTGAGGTGCTGGGGAAGGGCGGCTGGGCAGCAAGGAGGCTGTGTTGGTAGATTCCCCCCTTGTGAGCCCTGGCTGGAGCCCCACATCTGTGCACTGTGTGCTTGCCTCGTTGCTCACTTCCTCTCTTTCCTTACCAGGACTGCTTTTTTTACTCACTGGTGTTCGACCCTGTGCAGAAGACGCTGCTAGCTGACCAGGGGGAGATCAGAGTTGGTTGCAAATACCAAGCTGAGATCCCTGATCGCCTGGTAGAGGGTAAGCAACAGGACAGGTTGTGTAGCTGCCTGGCTGCTTAATGCCCAGGGCACCATCATGGTATGGTCGGTGTAGCTGGCATGCCTCTGTCTGCAGGGTTCCACGCTGCGCCCTTGTTGGGACGTGGCCTTGGCAGCCTGTCAGGCCGACAGCACAGTTAGGAAGATATTGAGAGTTGCAGTGGCTGGTTGATAGCATGCATGTGGAGAGGAAGGTGGAATGATAGCGTGAGCCTTGGGTACTGCTTGTATTTCCTCTTCCTGGTGATGCTGTTTCCTGCTCCCCAGGAGAACTGGACAATCGGAATCAGCAGAAGATGGAGATGAAGGTCTGGGACCCAGACAACCCCCTCACGGACCGGCAGATTGACCAGTTCCTCGTGGTGGCCCGGTGAGGGTGGGTGGATGGGAAGAGGGCCAGGGAGCTGTGGGTGTGGCTGAGCTCTGCATGTCCTAGACGTTTGTGGGTGGCACTCTTTCTCCTCAGCCTGTGCCTGCCTGCTTTTCCTTTTCTGACTTCCCGATCTCCCCGCAGAGCTGTGGGGACCTTCGCAAGAGCCCTGGACTGCAGCAGTTCCATCCGGCAGCCTAGCCTGCACATGAGTGCAGCTGCTGCCTCCCGAGACATCACTCTGGTGAGCAGCCTCCGGGAGAGCTGGGCATGGGTGCCGTGTGGTCGTCAGCACCTGGCACGGGAGAGATGCTTGTCTATGAGTGCATATGACGGTTCAAAGGGCAGCAGGCTGGCGGCATCTGGGATCCGAGTCCTCAGCTGCTGTCTCCTCTGTAGTTTCATGCCATGGACACACTGCAGAGGAACGGCTACGACCTGGCCAAAGCCATGTCTACCCTGGTACCCCAGGGGGGCCCGGTGCTGTGTCGAGATGAGATGGAGGAGTGGTCTGCCTCTGAGGCCATGTTGTTCGAGGAGGCCCTGGAGAAGTATGGGAAGGATTTCAATGACATCCGTCAGGACTTTGTAAGTGTGTGGGGCCAGAGGGGAGGCAGCAGAGACCAGGGCGGTGCCATCTCACTCTTCTGCCCTCTGTCCTGCTCAGCTGCCCTGGAAGTCACTTGCAAGCATAGTCCAGTTCTACTACATGTGGAAGACCACAGACCGGTACATTCAGCAGGTATGTAGGGCTAGGGGGCTGCACCAGGGCTGTCTGTGTTGCCTGCGGAGTTACTGATCTTTCCCTTTTTCCTTCCTGCAGAAGAGATTGAAGGCTGCTGAAGCAGACAGCAAACTGAAGCAAGTCTACATCCCCACCTAGTGAGTCTCTGGGCAGGGGAGACTGGCGCGTCATCCTTCTCTTCCCCCAGCCTCTGCCTTCAGTGATTAGGGTGGCGGGAAGCAGAATGAAACGGTGGAGGTGGATTTAGCGGGTGTAGCTCGGGTAAATACATGCTTAGTACCCAGCACACATGAGGCCCCAGTTCAGGCCCCAGCCCTGGGAGGGGAAAATTAGAGGTGAGTTCTTTTTCCAAGCTGGCTGTGTATACCTATAATCCAAATAGTCAGGAGGCTGAGGCAAGATTACCATGAGCTTGAGGCCAGCCTGGACTACATAATGGCTGTGTCTCCAAGGGGAAAAAAAAAAAAGAAGAAAAAGCTCTTTTTTCTTGACTGGTTCCTTGCCTGTACTTTTTTCATTAGTACTAAGCCAAACCCTAATCAGATCATTTCTGTGGGTTCAAAACCTGGCATGAATGGAGCTGGATTCCAGAAGGGCCTGACCTGTGAGAGCTGCCACAGTGAGTTGCAGAGTAGGGGATGGGGCTGGGGTGCGGGACCGCTGGGAGCAGGTTTCTCACTGACAGACCCCTTCCCGTAGCGACGCAGTCTGCCCAGTGGTATGCCTGGGGCCCGCCCAACATGCAGTGCCGTCTCTGCGCTTCCTGTTGGATCTACTGGAAGAAGTATGGGGGATTGAAGACCCCAACCCAGCTTGAGGGGGCTGCTCGGGGCTCCACAGTAAGGATCGGTGTGGGGAGAATATGAGCGAGCTGACCTGAGCACCGGCTAGAGCAGAGCACCTGCTCTGAGCAGGTGTGGGGGTGGCCAGAAGGCTTGGGGTCAGGAAGGTCACTAGGCAGAAACAACTTGTCCCCTTCAGGGAGTGGGAGGAAGAAGGGAGCTTCGGTACCACCACAGTTTCCGTTCTCTGTGCCCTTCCTCCAGGAGCCACACTCGCGGGGTCATTTGTCTAGACCTGAAGCCCAGAGTCTCTCTCCCTATACGACCAGCGCCAACCGGGCCAAGCTGCTGGCCAAGAACAGGCAAACGTTCCTGCTGCAGACCACAAAGCTGACCCGGCTTGCCCGGCGGATGTGCAGGGACCTGCTGCAGCCGAGGAGGGCGGCCCGGCGGCCCTACGCCCCGATCAATGCCAATGCCATCAAGGCAGAGTGTAAGGACTCAGTGGGGGGGCCGCGGGAGCGGTTAGAAATCTATTCCTGCCTGGCCCTTAGGAAACCTGGGCGGTGCAGCCCCTTTGAAGCTGCTTCCTTTTCTTCAGGCTCTATTCGCCTTCCAAAGGCTGCCAAGACACCGCTGAAAATTCACCCTCTGGTGCGGCTGCCCCTGGCAACGATCGTCAAGGATCTGGGTAGGGAATGGGCAACCAGTTTGGATGGCGTTAGGCTCCCAGTTCCGTCTCTCTCAAGAACCTGCCTTTCTTCCTGAGTTCAAAGAGATTTCACCCTGACATACTGCTTGTATGGTAGTTGTGGTGGTTGGTTTCTTTTTCTTTCTCACTTTGTAGTTTAGGCTGGCTTTGTGGTGATCCTTGTGCCTCCGCCTCCTGAGTGCTGGGATTACAGGTGTGGGTCACCACTCCCAGCTGGTTTTTTTTTTTGCGGGGATGGGGTGGTTGGTGGTGCTGGAGATTGAACCCAGAGCCTCTCACATCCCAGGCAAGTGCTCTACCACTGAGCTACGTCTTCAGCCAATACTATTTGCTTGTGGCTGTTGCCTGCTTGTGTATTGTCACACACATGAGATTGTGAACACTGGCAATCACTTCCAGGCCCTTTCCCCATACATTTGAGGGTGTCCAGATAAACTCCTGGCTGAGTGAAAGAGATGGAACCAAGAAAGGGTAACTGTAGGGCAGAGGTGTGAAAACTTTTCTTTTTTGTCCTGACAGTGGCTCAGGCACCTCTGAAACCAAAAACACCTCGGGGCACCAAGACCCCAATCAACAGAAACCAGCTGACTCAGAACCGGGGCCTGGGAGGCATCATGGTGAAGCGGGCCTACGAGACGGTGCGCTGGCTGATGGAGGAGCCTGGCTGGGCTGGGTGGGCTTTTGTTCTGACCGGAGTCTGGGTCCTCCCTCATTGTGTTCCCTTGTCCTTTTAAAGATGGCAGGGGCAGGAGTCCCTTTCTCTGCCAATGGAAGGCCCCTGGCCTCGGGGATCCGCTCAGGCTCACAGCCAGCAGCCAAACGCCAGAAACTAAACCCTGCAGATGCCCCCAATCCTGTGGTGTTTGTGGCCACAAAGGATACACGGTAGGGTCTCCACAGGGCAGGGCGGTGGCTGACCTTGGGAGTAGCACGCTCCCTGCGGGCTCTTGGGGTTCTTTGCATCTCTTGTATTTGTCGTGTTTTCCCTGCAGGGCCTTACGGAAGGCTTTAACCCACTTGGAGATGCGGAGGGCTGCCCGGAGGCCCAACCTACCCCTGAAGGTGAAACCAGCACTGATGTCAGTGCGGCCCCCAGTCCCTCTGCCCACACCCTCACATCCGGCCAGCACCAACGAGCCTATTGTCCTGGAGGACTGAGCTTCGAGGGCCAGGGAGCCAGGGTGGAGCCTAGGACCTACACATCCCTTCTCTGGAGCATGAGGGACTGTGGGGGACCATGGAGGCTGGGTGCCCTTGGTCTTAGCACCTGGGGACTGGGCCCCTCCTTGGTTCTCCCTGGGTGTGGAGCTTGCCCTTGGGACACCTGCACTGTTCTGGAGGGTTCCTTCCACACTTGTCTTGGACAGTTTCAGGGGGAGGGTTTTTTAATTTTTTAAAAATTTTACCTCCCTTTGTGAAAGGGAACGGGAGGGGAAGAGTGACTGCTCTCAAGTGATGGCACCTGGCTGGGGGCGGGGGGCGTGCACTGCCATGTCTTTCTTGTTTTTTTCGTAATTGGGGGGTTTCTCTTCCTGTCCGGTGTCCGGACTTTGCTAATTGGTATTTGAAGCCCCTGAGCTGGCATCAGCCCCAGCCCACGCTCGCTCTTTCTTTTCTCCCCCACCCCCGCCTTTTGTATGCCAATTCTCAGAAATAAAGATCTTTTGTCCGTTTTTTTAACCTCGGATTCTGTAATTGGTTCTTATAATAACAAATAAAAAGCTGTTTTCTTCAGTCCCTCCCGGCTCAGCTGTTCTCTGCCCTGAGTGGGTGTGGGGTGTGTGCTGGGGGCGTCTTTGAGAGGGGGAATAAAGGGCAGAGGGTAAAGGAAGAAGCGCACGTGGGGCGCGTCATCGCGAGATGCAGCTGGGAGAGGTGGCCTGCTGCCTGCCTTCGCCGCCGCTTTGCTTTTCGTTTTTCGTACTGGGGATGGGCTGCAGCCCCCGCTGTTCTGGAGACGCGGTCTCAGGAAGTTGCCCAGGCTGGGCTCAAACTCGTCTCGCCTCCTCCCCGTGTGGCGGGTTCCAGGGATGTGCCACTGCTGGAGCCCCTGGCCTGAGACCTACGCCGCGCCCAACTCGGGGGGCGCTCAAGCGTCGTCCGGGCCTGGAAGCGGGGTGCTGCAGCGAAGTACGGCGCCGCGTCCCTGGGGTGTGGGGCCCAGGCCCCGCGGGCCCTCACCCGCCTGCGGGCGCTCTCGGGGAGCGGCCTAGCCTGCCCGCTCCTCGGGGCCTGCTGCAGCACACGCTCGGCCTCGGCGCTCTCGGTCACAGGCCGTGGCGGCTGCCGAGCTGCGCGGCTGAGCCCCGCACGTTCAATCCCGCTGCGGCTCGCACCCCGCCGGCGGTCAGCGCTTCTTGCAGAGGCGGCCATCGGTACAGGGGCGCGCAGCAAGACAGCTCGGCCGGACGCTCCGGCGGCGAGCCAGGAGCTGGCGTCGGCCCCACCCCAGCGCCCCTCTGTAGCTGCCTCATGAATATTCACGATACTTTGGGCCAATCAACGCCGGAAAAGCGTGGAGCGCTCCAAAATGTGTACCGCAGACCGTTGAGCGTCGGAGGCCGGAAGCGGAACCCTGAGTGGGGGAGCTCGGTTTCCCTGAGAGGGTGGGCGGTGCTCGCGATTGTCGGACTCTGCGTCACTTCCTATGAGTCTGGCGGAAGTCTCTTCTGAGAGCGTCGCCGTCTGCAGAAGAGAGTTCCGGCGGAGGCAGAAGTGGTTTCCTTTCGTCTGTGCGGAGAGTCGCCATGGAGGCGGTGGATTCGGATGTAGAATCGCTGCCGCGTGGGGGTTTCCGCTGCTGCCTCTGCCAAGTTACTACAGCCAACCGTAAGCGGTGGCTAGTGAGGGTGGTTGGGGGCGCTCAGCTTCGTTCTCACTGCACGTCGGAGGGGACAGCGGAGTGGGGACGTCCCGCCAGCTGCATCCCTCGCCCCGCTCTACGGAGTGCCCACGACGAAAGCTCGGTGGTTCCTTTTCCCTGTCGCCGGCTCCTGTGGGCCCCTGCTCCGTGTCTGGTGCTTTGCTGGCCCGGGGGCGTGGGGGAGGTTCGAGGATGCAGTTGCCCCCTCTAGATGGAGACAGAGCTGTGGCATCGCAGAGAAGGCCGAGTGGGGAAGCCCTGCAGGGTCTCCCCAGAGGCCAGGATGGGTGAGACGGTGTGGCAAGGAGCAGGAGGTGCCCGCGAGAAGCAGGCAGAGAATGGGTTTGGGAAGTGGACTTGGGCCTCATAGGGCAGTTCAGGGAGCTCCACGAAACATCGCATTCCGCTTCGGAAGCCAGGAATCCCGATCTTCGCGAACAGGGTCTTCCATCTTTCCTTTTCCCCGTGAATGGCACTGTCCTCGTTCTGTGGGGCAAGCTGGAAACCAGAAGTCTCACTGGCTCCACAAGTACTTTGGTGACGCCAGGCAGCTGACTGATAGTACAGATAGTACTAGCCGTGAAACTGTCATTTGCCACATAGTAGACTCTGCCAGTTGTTATAAATCTGTACCGTGTGGAAGGTGTTACAGTTACCTACATTTAAATCTGAAGAAACTAATGTACAGAGAGGTTAAGCAGCTTGCAAAGGTCTCACGAGGCTTGATGGAGCTGAGTGTGAATTTAGAGCAGCGTAGGGCCTGTGCGTGCAGTGACCATGCCACACCTACAGTCGGTCAGTGAGAACAGTCTAGGTCCTGAGTTCTCTGTATGAGCTGGGTGAGCTACCTGTGGATTTCTTTACAGTCTGCAGGTGTTGCTCTACCTAGCAAATGCGTGTGTCTATCTTTTGTGTATGTGTGTGTGGTACTCATGGCCTTGTACATACTGGGCAAGTGTTCTACCACTAAGCTGTATCCCCAGACCTTTTAAGAAAGTGTACACTGAGACAAGAGTCTAGGTTCCCTGAGTTGAATTCAAAGTTTCAATCCTGGGGGCTGGGGATTTAGCTCAGTGACACAGCGCCTGCCTGGCAAGCGCAAAGTGGTGAGTTTGATTCCCGGTACCAGTACCGGGAAAAAAACAAAACAAAACATAACAAAAAAAAAACCCCAACAAAGTTTCAATCCTGTTTCAGGCTCCAAGTAGCTGGGGTTTGAGGCATGTGCTACCATGCCTAGCAGTTCACTGCATATTGATGATTTAAGGGTGACTTGAGCTGGGTGCCCCTTTACAAGTTTTTTTTTTCTCTTTACAGGTTTGTAATCACAGCTATTTGGGAGGCTGATGTAGGAGGATAACAAATTTGAGGCCAGCGTGGACAATTAGTGAATTCTGTCAGAATACAAAATAAGGCCCGTGGATGTAGCTCAGTGGTAGACTGCCCCTGGGTTCGGTCCCTAGTGTGTATGTAGCAGACAGTCATAGCACATGCCCATAATCCCAGCATGACAGGAAGCTAAGGTAGGAGGAGAACCAGTTCAAGCCCAGGCTGGGGATCTTAGTGACTTAACTAGACCTTAGTCTCAGATAAAAGTAAAAATAATTTTATTTATTTATTTTGTCTTTTTGACACAAGGTCTCGCTATTCAGTTCAGGCTGGCCTTGAGTTCACTTTGTAGCCCAGGCTGGCCTCGAACTTGCAAGGATCCTCCTGCCTCAGCCTCCTAGGTGCTGGGATTACGAAAATAATTTTAAAAAGAAAGAAAAGAACTACTTAGAGTGTACTATCCTGGAAATGACTTAGAATATGTTATGTAGACAGATGCATAAGAATATCGAGGGTAAGGGCTGGGGATATAGCTCAGTGGCATAAGTGCCTGCCTGGCAAGCACAAGGTCCTGAGTTTGATCCCCGATACTGCAAAAAAAAAAAAAAAAAAAGAATATCGAGGGTAGAACCAGGACTGTATTCAAAGGTCACACATTTTTCTTCTTCCTGAGACAGGGTTTCATTACGCAACTCAGGCTGGCCTTGAACTCACTTTGTAGCCCAGGCTAGCCTTGAACTCACAGCAGTCCTCCTCCTACCTCAGCCTCCTAAGTGCTGGATTTATAGGTGTGTGTCACCATGCCCAGCTTTGTTTTGTTTTTTTGAGACAGGGACCATACCCAGCTTTGTTTTTTTCTTTTTTTTGAAACAGGGTCTTGCTATATAATTCAGGCTGGTCTTGAACTCACTGTGTAGCCCAGGCTGGCCTCAGATTTGTGGCACTCTTGCTGCCTCAGCCTCCTGAGTGCTTCAAAGGTCATACTTTTGTGGTTTGGAGGATCCGTAGAACTTCAAGTATTCAGGATGGTGGCACGGTGCTCCGAAGAGTGACCTACGTATTTTTGTCTTGGTTTTGCCTCTACAGGACCCAGCCTAGATGCCCATTTGGGAGGCCGGAAGCACCGGCATCTGATAGAACTTCGAGCTGCCAGAAAGGCCCAGGGACTTCGGAGTGTGTTTGTCAGTGGTTTTCCCAAGGATGTGGATTCTGCAGAACTGTCTGAATACTTCCAAGCATTTGGACCTGTGGCCAGTGTGGTCATGGACAAGGACAAGGTAGAGTGACCCTGGGATGAGGAGTGATGTCAAGAGGGAGAAAACAGCAACCTGTTCCTGGTTCTGCATGTGGCCTGGCCTTTCTGGACACCACAGAACTTGGGATAGTCCAGCTCTGTAAGCTCACATTGCTCCCACCCACTGGGTTTTATCCAATGCCAAGGTAACTGCTGAGGGACTGGTCATTTATTTATTCACTGTATCTTTTATTTGCTGGCGAAATGTTTATCAACTGCTGCCTTTGTATTAGGTACTAGAGCTATATCCTAGGTAGTGAGGGAGGAGTCTTGCCTATGTGAAGTTTATAGACTACAAGAGAAGCTGGACATGGTAGTGGTGCACACCTGTAACCTCAGCATTTGGGAGGCTGAGGCAGGAAGAGCATTGTGATTTTGAGGCCAGCCTGAGCTACAGAGCGAGACCCTGTCTCAAAAAAAGAAGAAGAAGGGAAGGTGAAGAAGAACATAACATTGGAGGGTCACCCTCCACCCCACCCCAAGAAACTGCTTGATAAAATGGTTGGCAGTTTATTAACTACATCAAGAACTGCTTGAGGTTATTGGTCAGAACATCCTGATACGAAAACAAGCTCATTCTTGATAGTTCTTTTATCTTGCTTCCGTGTGGAACTTTTTAAGCTGTCCCTTTAGTCTCTTGAAAAAATTCATTTCTGCTGTGCTGTATTGTTGGATCACACTGTGGTTCTGAGGCTGCATGTGGGCCATTCAGGTGTGGACTAGAGGCTCCTGGACATCACCAGGATGGTGATACAGCTCAGTGGTAGGTACTGGCTCTGCCAGAGCTCTGGGTTTCCCCAAGCACTGACGGGGAAAAAGCCAAATTTTCTTAGCAGGCCAGGGCTCCTGTTGGGATGGAGTAGGGTCTGACTCTGTTACAGCTTTCATTTTGTGACTGAACTCCAAACAATATGAATATAAAGTTGAGGTTTTTTTTATTTTTTTTATTTTTTATTTTTTATTTTTTTTTAAAGTTGAGTTTTCTTCCATCTTATAAGAAGCCCCATGCAGGCAGCCCAGGGTGCAGTTGTTTTCTCCCTTGGCCATTCTCAGCATGTCCTCGTCAACACTCATGGTGCTGCTGTCTCCACAGCTTCAGGGAAAGGATGGGCAAGGTGGAAGGCAGCACGTGAGAGGCCAGCGACTGCCTGGTCTGACTCCCTGCCTCCCTCTCTTCATTTCTGAGGAAAACGCTTTCCAGAGGCCTTCTCGGCAAACTTTGTCTTCTCTCTCAGTGGCCGGAACTCTACCACATGGTTATCCCCCACTGTGGTCAAGGCTGGGAAATTAAGGTTTTTCGGTTGAGGACTTGGCCTCTCTGAACAAAATTGGGGTTCTCTTTGCCAGGAAGAAAGAGCATATATAGGTGGGCAGTTGGCCTCACCTGCCCCAGGTTACTTCTTCAGAAAGCCCAGTGTCCCCATTTTGGCTTATATTTACTTCATTTGCAAAGAATGATTTTTTGCCGTGTTGTATTTTATTCCTTTTGGTTTTTTAAAGACAGGGCCTCAGTGTGTAGCTGAGGCTGGCCTTAAACTTGCTATGTAATCCAGACTGGCCTTGAATTTACAATCCTCTTGCCTCAGCCTCTTGAGTGCTAAGATTGCAGGCCTGTACCACCTTGTCTGCTAAAGTGTTTACTAATTACTGCCCACCAATTGTGTGCCAAGAAATCTACATTATCTCATTATCTCCACGGCATTGCCTTGGGGAAAATCGTGAGTAATAAGGTGGAGATTCCAGGCCGCAGAGCCCTCACTCAGCCCTGTGGTTTGCAGGGAGTATTTGCCATTGTGGAGATGGGCGACGTGGGCTCCCGGGACGCCGCCCTGGCCCAGGAACAGCACAGCCTTCGAGGTCAGCGCCTCCGTGTGCGGCCTCGGGAGCAGAAAGCATTCCAGAGCCCGGCCTCCAGGGGCCTCCGCGGTGCAGCCCCCGATGACAGTGACCAGCTGCTCAGTGCCTTGGCTGAGGCCCCGGATGTGGGCGGGCAGATGCTGAGGCTGGTGGCTCTGCGGGAGCTGTCCGAGGCTGAGCGGCAGCTGCGGCGCCTGGTGGTGGCCCTGATGCAGGAGGTCTTCACGGAGTTCTTCCCTGGTGAGCGAGTGCAGGCCAGCCCAACCTCTGGCCCTGTCCATGCCCCTCCGACGGCCCTGACCTTGGCCCTCCCCACCCCTAGGCTGCACGGTCCACCCTTTTGGCTCTTCCACAAACAGCTTTGATGTCCACGGCTGCGACCTCGACCTCTTCCTGGATCTGGGGGAGCTGGAGGAGCCCCAGGTAAGTGAGCAGAGGTGGCTGGCTGACCTTGGGCGAGCACCTCGCCTCTCTGTACCTCAGTTCCACCTTGGGGATGTGTGCCCTGCCCGCAAGGCTGCTGTGCTGGAGAAGTGTGCAGGAGTCGGTATCAGGGTACCTGTGGGCTGATGTGGGACAGGTGGCAGATTGGTGGGAAAAAAAGATTTCCAAATGGCGTGTAGATTATTTTGTGAAAAAATATCTGTAAAAGGATGTATGATTATAGATTAGGTGGAATTGTATCAGTCATGAATTACTGTCTCTATACTAGTCAGTGGATTGAAAATGCTATCATATTAGTGTAATGCTATAATGTTAAATGATAACAACAATGTAAACCAGAAAAAAAATTTACTGGTAAGGTAATTTGGGGTTATTTGTCTGTCTATTCTCTTCTTTCGTGGTACTGGAAATTGAACCCAGGCGTTCACACTGAGCGACATTCCCAGCTTCTCCCCCTTTTATGTTTTTGAGAAAAGGCCTTATTGACTTGCCAAAAGTTGTTCAAGCTGGGCTTGAACTTGCAATCCGCCTGCCTCAGCCTCCTGAGTGGTGAGATTATAGGCTCGTGCTACCAGGCCCAGCTATTTATTTGTATTTTCTAATTTAATATACAGATTCTGCTTTTGGAAAAGGAAAGGATTTGTATTATTTTCAAAGAATTTTTTTCTTTTTGAGGCAGGGTCTTGTTATATAGTTCAGGTTGGCCATGAACTTGCTATGTAGCCCAGGCTGGCCTTGAACTCACAACAGTCCTCCTGCCTCTGCCTCCCAAATGCTGGGATTACAGGTGTGTACCCCCCTGCCCGCCTCAAAGCAGACTTTGGTCTTTAGTGCTGTTTTGGGTTTTCAGTAGAGTTCCCACCTCCGGCTGCCCAAAGAGGCTCTCACTGTTTCCTTTGCCAGCTGGGGGTCCGGCACGTGTTCAGTGCTTGTTGGGCCAGTGCTCTGCACTGAGCCAGCCGCCGGCCTTCCACAGGGAATGGTCCGTAAAGGTGTTCGTTACGCTCTCTACACGTGCTGTTCTTTATGTTTTCAGAATCTAACGGGGGGATATACACTGTGCTCCTTTGCCCTTCATATTTTAAGGCGCATTACTGTGGAGCAAAGAGCACCAGTGTGTAGCCCCCGACTCAGCCTGCAGCCCATGTTCGTTGTCAGCGTCAGGACAGCGCACTGTGGGTTGCGCTCTCAGTCTTCGCTTTGGGACGGTTCCTCTGTTCTCATCTCCTGCAGAGTGTAGGAGTGATTTAGGTTTTGAGATAGGGTCTTGTTGTATAGTCCAGGTTGGCCTTGAACTTGTGATCCTCCTGCCTCAATATCCTGAGTGCTGAGATCATAGGCCAGCGCCACTGCGCCTGGCTGGCACATTTATTTTATGGAGTTGAAAGACTATTTGATTTTAAGAAATGGCTGCTGTGAGAATTGAGGGAATTTACTATATGGAAAATCCATGGAGCAGGGTCTGGCAGTAACAGACACTGTCTTGGGGACATGGACGGCCCTGGCTTGGGGACAGTGGGCGAGGACTCACATGGCTCATTTCCATCCACAGCCAGTCCCGAAGGCCCCAGAGTCTCCGTCCTTGGACTCCGCCCTCGCCTCCCCTCTGAATCCTCAAGCGTGCACCCCAGCCTCCCCTGTGGACTCGCAGAGTCCTGTCTCTCCCCATGACTCTGAAGTGCTGGACTTGGAGACCCTGTCCTCCTCCCTAGCACCCCAGACGCCAGACTCTGCGCTGGCCTCTGAGACACTTGCCTCTCCACAGTCCCTGCCTCCAGCCTCGCCCCTGCAGGAGGACAGGGGCGAGGGGGACCCTGGGAAGGGCTTGGGCACCACAGAAGCCCTGGAGGGTGAGAGGCCGGCAGGAGCGGCCATGCTGGAGCTGGTGGGCTCCATCTTGCGGCGCTGCGTCCCTGGTGTGTACCGTGTCCACAGTGTGCCCTCAGCCCGACGCCCCGTGGTGAAGTTCTGCCATCGGCCCTCAGGGCTTCATGGTGACGTCTCCCTCGGTAACCGGTACCTTGGCGGGTGCCAGCGGGAAGGAGTCTGGGCTGGGAGGCTATCGGGTTCTGCTGGGCTGGTCCTGGGCCCCTCTGGTGCTTATGTCTCAGCTGTCTACTTTCATGGTTTGGGAAGTGTGTGCCTTGGAATATTGGTTGTTTTTTTTTTTTTTTTTTTTTTTTGGTCTTTTTGAGACAGGGTCTTGCTATGTAGTTCATGCTGGTATTGAGCACACTTTGTAGCCCAGGCTGGTCTCAAACTAACAGTGATCATCCTGCCTCAGCCTGCCGAGTACTGGGATTACAGGCGTGTGCCACTGGAATGTTGTTTTGGAGGAACATGCGAGAGTCCTTGGCTGCATGGGTTTGGGAAATACTAGATGGAATGCAAACACACCCCCCCATCCAGGCTCTGTTCCATCACATATGGCAGGCTCCTGGCAGTCTTTGCTCTCCTCCTCTTTTGTGGAGGAGATGGAACCCAGGGCTTTCACGCTGAGCCACATCACTGAGCCCTCCTTTGAGACAGGGTCTCACCAGCTCGCTAAATTGTCTATGCTGGACTGCAAGTTGTGATTCTCCTGCCTCAGCCTCCCAGAGTACTAGGGTTACAGGTGTGCTTGCTATGCCCAGCATAGTCTTTTTCATAGTGCTGGACTTGCCAGGGCCTCACACAGGCTAGGAAAGCAGTCTTCCGCTGAGCTAACACTCCCACCCCGTTTTTGATTTTGGAGATTAATCCCTGGGCTACACGCATGCTAGGCAAGTGCTGTTCCATGAAGCTACACCCAGCCCTGTTTGACATTCTCTCTCAAAACCAAGCTTTAGCAATACTTCGGCTCTTGTCCTCTTTGAGTCTGGACGGAGCGGGTAGGTGAGTGGTTGCCAGGGCTGTGGAGCCTGACACCCTGTCTCTCTTCCGCCCCAGGCTGGCCCTGCACAACTCCCGATTCCTGAGCTTGTGCTCTGAGCTGGACGGGCGGGTCCGGCCGCTCGTGTACACTGTCCGCTGCTGGGCGCAGGGCCGAGGGCTGGCAGGTGAGAGCAGATCGGGGCAGACCTGGCTGGAGCCGGTGTTGTGGAAAGGGCTCTGGGCTTTCGGGGTGAGGGCAAGGAGATAGCGGTGCAGCGAGAGCCCTCTTCTAATGGGGTTCTTGGTTGCTTACCCAGGGAGTGGCCCCCTCCTCAGCAACTACGCTCTGACCCTGCTCGTGGTCTACTTCCTGCAGACCCGGGATCCCCCTGTGTTGCCCACAGTAGCCCAGCTCACCCAGAAAGCAGGTACTCCTGGACACGCCTGCCACTTGGGGTGCCGTCTGCTCACACCTGCTTCTCCCCTCCCTCCAAGCTCACCCTTCCTCTGCCTCACAGGTGAGGGGGAGCGGGTGGAAGTGGACGGCTGGGACTGCAGTTTCCCCAGGGACGTCTCTAGCCTGGAGTCCAGCACCAACGTGGAGCCCCTGGGTGAGTGGGCAGTGGGTGTGGATGGGCGGATGGTGGGGAACATGTCAAATGTCGCACACAGTGCACTCCCAGGTGTGACTTCCCACAGCAGCCTGGGCTGCTACACTCAGCCCGTGCTGCAGGGAAGAAACCATGTCCCGGAGCAGAGCAAGGGAAGCGGGTGGCCTCTTGTCTGCAGGGCCGCAGGAGCCTCTAGGGGATGAAGCCTCGCCTGCCACAGAAGTGGTCTCCAAGCAAACCCATTCTGGTTCCCTTTCCAGGCTCCCTCCTGGCCCAGTTCTTCTCCTGTGTTTCCTGCTGGGATCTTCGTGGCTCTCTGCTGTCACTTCGGGAGGGTCGGGCGCTGTCAGTGGCTGGGGGCCAGCTAGCTGATCTCTGGGAGGGTCTGCGCCTGGGCCCCGTGAATCTCCAAGACCCCTTTGACCTGAGTCACAACGTGGCCGCCAACGTGACCAGCTGTGTAGCAGGGCGGCTGCAGAACTGCTGCCGGGCTGCAGCCAGTTATTGTCGCAGCCTGCAGTTTCAGCGCCGATCCGCCCGAGGCCGCTGCTGGGGGCTGCTGCCGCTCCTGCAGCCGCGCTCCGCCGCCTCACTGCTCGCAGCCACTCCCATTCCCCTGCCCACAGCGCCCTTCCCCCAGCTTGCTGCCGCTGTGGTCCGGGTGCTGCAGGATGCACTGGGGTGCCAGATAGAACAGGGGACAAAGAGGCCAAGGCCTGGAGCAGGGATGGAGGAGGCCGCCCAGGGAGGAGCTGGCAAAAGACTGAAGCTAGATGGGCACGGAGAGGGCGGCAAGGACGGGGATGAGCTGTGGGGGTACGTGGGGGATCTCTGTCGAGAAGCAGAGGAGGAGATGGTTGTGGAGGCTGGCGAGTCGACGCAAGACTGGGGCATGTGGAGCCCTGGGCAAGCAGGGGACCCGCCGGTGGTGGCTAGCCGGTGCCCAGGCTCTGGAGGGGAAGGACAAGGCCGCCCAGCACTGGCCCGGCTGTGCGAGGGTCGCGCGAGCTGGCGCTGTGCCCTGTGGCACCGCACGTGGCAAGGGCGGCGGCGAGCCCGGCGGCGCCTGCAGCGGCAGCAGGGCCAGGGCGGTGACACAGGGGCTGAATGGCTGGCGACCGAGGCCCGGGTGACCCAGGAGCTGGCGCGACCTGGCAGCGGGGAGCAGGGAGCCAGGGCTGAGCCCCTCGTGGCCTTCCTTGCGAGCGTGTCCGAGGCAGAGGGTATGCTCACGGTCACCCCGCTGCAAGACGCGCAGGGCCTGTTCCCTGAGCTGCACCACTTCCTGCAGGGCTTCGTGCCCCAGGCATTGCGCCAGACAATAAAGCAATGAGCTGCTGGACCACGCCAGTGTCCTGTGTCCTCTGTCCCTCAGGCCCGGGCCCTGTGGCGAAGCCAGCCCTGGGGGGGGGGGGGGGGGGCAGACACACCCGCAGAGATGGGTCTGCGCTTCCTCCGCACCGCGACGGAGGTTTTCAGAGGCGAGCGTGGTAGCCACAACCTCAGGTCCCTAGGGAGTTCACACGCAGCCGTTAGATGTGACATGCCCACAGCGTGTGCATCTGCTGGGAACCCGCCTCTCTTTGGGGGTCCCTTCCTCCTGCGGCAGCCGAGCCGCTAGGGGGCGGTCCTGCCGGCCGGTTCTCACGCTCTACCCCGCCCTGCGCACCTCCCACCTCCGGTCGGGGCTCCAATTGGCCCCTAGGGGCGGGCCAATCAAGAGTTCTGCTCTGCAGGCCGCCAGGCCCCACCCCTATTTTCTGAGCCAGCGCGACTGAATACGAAACTGTCGTGCGTAGGCCTTCTATGCCGTCCTCACTTTCCGGCGGCTGCTTCCTCACGGCTCTCCCCTCCCCCCTCTTGCCAGTTTACTTTGCGGCAGCGCCGAAGCCCCACCCCCTTTCTCTGCGGAATCACCATGGCGGCTGGGGTGAGTTTGCCGGCTCTGGTGAGCCGGGTCGCCTTATCCGTTGCCATCCTGTTGTCGAGAGGGATCAGGCGGGACCAGAGGTGCACTGCAGCCAAGTGGGGCGCCGGCACGGGTCTGCAGTCCGCCGTGTCGGAGAGCAGGGTGCTCAGGCCGGCGAGACAGGCTCGGGCCAGAGCGGGGCTCTGGGGAGGGGGAGGCTGAGTCCGCGCCTCCCGGCGTCTGCCGAGCTATCCCGCTCTTGTCGTGTGAGAAGAGGGCGCTGGGTGAGCGGACAGCACTCCTGCCATCGACTGGCGGGGACAGGGAGAGGGGTCTCGGGTGGCCCGGGGAGGTCCGGCCCGCGGCTGCGAGCCCGGCCAGCGGGTCTGGAGGAGACGGCACCGGGAGGGAGCCCGCTCGAGTCCGGGCCTTGGAGGAGGGAGACCCGGGCGCCGCCCGTGCCGCGCCAGGCTGGCGGTGCGTGGCCTCGGGCGCCGGGAAATGAATGAAGCGCGGCTCCGCCAGGAGTTAGGGTGCCCCAGACGCGTAGGGGCAGAGGTGTCCTCAGGGAAGGTCGGACGGCTCGAGCTTAATTTAGCAGCTGGTTTGCAGTCAGTTTTCGGTGTTGCGGGGGACTCCGGTTACACTGGGCAAACGCCGAAGGACCTGGCTGTCCAGAGGGACGCTGTGGAGCTGTTGAGGTCTCGGGAAGTGCTCCGGGGGCGTTGAGGCTCGGGGCCCTCTGCTCACTGAACTCCGCCTATTTCTCGTGCAGACCCTGTACACATACCCTGAAAACTGGAGGGCCTTCAAGGCCCTCATCGCTGCTCAGTACAGCGGGGCTCAGGTTCGCGTGCTTTCCGCACCACCCCACTTTCACTTTGGCCAGACCAACCGCACCCCTGAATTTCTCCGCAAATTTCCTGCCGGCAAGGTGAGTGGGGAGGTGAACCGGGGCTTCTGGTTCTGAGAACTCAGAGCCTAGGATTCCATCATGCTGGAGGTGGCCTCCATCTCTACAGTGAAACAGAGCTTCCCATGTTACTTCACATTTCAGACTCCAAAAATTCGAGGCTCACCGTAGATCCACGTGTACTCTCCTAAAGTAATACAGAACTGTTTAGTGACTGCGTAAAATTCAGAGGTCAGCTTTGTGTTTGTGGGTACCATTAGCACAAATACACCAAACATCTGTTATGAGTGGGAGTCCTTACCTAAGGGGTGGATGGAGTTAGGCAAGGGGGGGGGCTGAGAGGAGAGGATCAGGCACCTGTGCGTGGGCTCCTGGTCACTTGCATTGATGCAGAGAAGGCTGTGAGACTTGGATCCTGGCCTTCTGCTTGTTTGACTGAGGGGCTTTATTTAGATAGTGTGAGTTGACATTGCAAGGGTTAGCAGTGACTCAAGCATTTTTGGTTTCTGAGTTTCAGGCAGTGTCTTGAGCTTAAATACAGAGAGCTGTCAGTCTTAGCATATGTACTTGTACCTACAACGTTTGGGCTCCTGGAATTGGCCAGTGAGAAATTCCTGTGTGTAATTCTGTTCCACCGCTCTGTCCCCAGGTTCCAGCGTTTGAGGGCGATGACGGGTTCTGCGTGTTCGAGAGCAATGCCATTGCTTACTATGGTAATTTAGGGAAACTGGTGGGGGTGTGGGAGAGTACTGGGGTCTCTCAGTGGACAGGAGGAAGTGTCCGGGCTTGGAGCCATGTTGGCAGGACCCCAGAGTCCTGACCTTTTGCTGGCCTCTGCAGTGAGCAATGAGGAGCTGCGGGGAAGAACGCCAGAGGCAGCTGCCCAGGTGGTGCAGTGGGTAAGCTTTGCTGACAGTGACATCGTGCCTCCCGCCAGCACCTGGGTGTTCCCCACGTTGGGCATCATGCACCACAGCAAGCAGGTGAGTGTGGAACCTGGGAGAAGTGGGAACAGCATTGGCCAGGGTGTTGGGGAGGGTGCTGTCTGCAGTGGGGGCATTGTGGAGGGGCGGGTGGTGGTGCTGGGGTTGTTGTCAGACCGAGGTTTGGCTTCTGGCCAGGGATGGGTTCAGAGGCTAGAGTTCTGCTGTAAGGAGGTTGGACCACAGAGAGTGGAGTGTCTAGACCTCAGACCTGTAAGCCTCCTTCCAATGGGAGGCCACCATCATATGGGGCGGCGAATGTGAGGAAGTTTAACATGGACAGCTTCTGTGTGGTGCATTTGGGTGGTGTCAGGTGGCGGCCCTGTCGATAAGGTTGTGGTGGCCAGGACTAGAAACCTGGCTGCTCAGCTCAGTTAGCAGAGAGCTTGGTGCCTGCTGCTGAGTTGGGAAATTGGAATCAACAGGCCACCGAAAACGCAAAGGAGGAGGTGAAGCGTGTGCTGGGGCTGCTGGATGCCCACTTGAAGACCAGGACCTTTCTGGTGGGTGAGAGAGTGACGCTGGCCGACATCACTGTCGTCTGCACCCTGCTGTGGCTGTACAAACAGGTGCGTTGAGAGTGCTGTCAGAGCAGGCAGGGTGGGGTCTCCAGGTGCCCACACTTAGACAGGTAGCAGTGTGTCTTGCTGGAGACCCAGGGCCAGTGGCATGCTCTGCCCTCTAGGTTCTGTTTGGCTGCTGTAGAGTCCTCCAGAGCCAGTCCAGCTTGGTTGTGGAGACTGGGGAAGGTGGGGCTGCAGCATGGGTTTGGGACGCTCTGGGGAGGGTCTTGTGTACATCGGTTGCAAGTAGAGACAGAAGGGTATGAGCCCCTTTAATGCCTTTTTCCTTTTGATATATAAGGTCAGGGTGGTAAGATGATGGGTCAGAACAGAACGCTGTGGATGGCTCTGGAGCCATTCTGGTCTGTAGGCGTGGTGTGATGTAGCAATAAAAGCACCTACTGCCAGCCAGACCCTGGGACAAGGGGTACTTACACGCCGTGTCCTCTAAACTAACACGGTTGTGGAGTGGGAGAAATGTAATCCACGCACAGCATGTAGCCATTGAGTGCTGGAGTTGAACTTAAATGTAAGTACTTCAGAACCAGCTGGGCATGATGGTGCACATCTGAAATCCCAGCATTCTGGGAGTCTGAGGCAGGAGGATCTCAAGTTCAAGTCCAGCCTGGGCAACTTTGCATGATCCTGTCTCAGAATGAAAAGGGCTGGGGATGTTGCCCAGTGCAAATGCTCTGGGTGCCATCCCCACTGCTGTCAATTTTTTTTGAGACAGGGTCTCGCTATGCAGTTCAGGCTGGCCTTGAGCTCACTTTGTAGTTCAGGTTGGTCTCAAATTCAAAAATGATCTTCTGCCTCAGCCTCCCAAGTTCTGGGCTTCAAGGCGTGCGCCATCACGCCTGGCTATATTGTTATCTTTACTCAAACTGTTAAGATATATGCATTTAATTGTCTAAATATTAGCACAAACCTTTTCAGTGAATTAAGACAGATTAATAGTATGGTTATCTTATCATTCATATATATGTATATATACACAAATTTTAAAAATTTTTTTCGTTTCTCCATCCCAATTTCTCTTTTGAAGTTTATTTTTTTGGGGTGGGGGGGAGGTTTCTGGTACCAGGGATCGAACTCACGACCTTGTGCTTGCCAGGCAAGTGCTGTGCTGCTGAGCTAAATCCCCAGCCCCTCTTTTGCAGTTTCTTCCCATTTTAATATTTGTTGTACATTTTGGATCTTATAACTTATTTTCTTAGTTTCTCACAGTAGGGAGACAATAGAATGTTCACATGTTTGCGTCTGGTTTACTTCACTTTTGAGTATAGTCTCCAGTTGCATCTATTTACCTATAAAAGTCTCTAGTTTGTCCCTCTTTATGGCTGAGTAGTACTCCATTGCTAACTTGCAGTCTTATCTCAGCTTCCCAAGTTTTGGGTTTGCTAGCTGTGTCACCATGCCTGGATTAGTCCCAACTCTTTGGTGGTACTAGGGATTGAATTTTTGGCCTTTACACTGAGCTACGTCTATGATCCTCTTTGAGGTAAGGTCTTGCTATGCTGATTTTCCCAGACTAAACTTGAACTTGCAATGCTACTAAGAACTGGGGTACAGGTGTGTGCTGCCCCCTTGCTGCCCATGTCCTTTACAGTGGACTGGACTGCCAGGGAAGATTGGCACGAGAAACAGGAACGAGTTAGCACCGCAGGGGAAGGCGACAGGAAAGGCTTCTGCGTTTGGGTGGAGGAGGAACTGGATCCTGGACCCTGGCTTGAATTCATCCAGGCCCATTCCCTGCTTTGACTTTGACTCCTCCCTCACTCCTGCAGGTCTTGGAGCCCTCGTTCCGCCAAGCCTTTCCCAACACCAACCGCTGGTTCCTCACCTGCATTAACCAGCCCCAGTTCCGTGCGGTCCTGGGGGAGGTGAAGCTCTGTGAGAAGATGGCCCAGTTTGATGGTGAGTTGGGGTCGAGGAACTCTACCTCAAGTGCAGCGTCCACTTGCTGCCAGTCCTTGT